CCATTTTGGCCATTTGGGACGTGAACCAATAGAAAGGTAGTGTAGAAGTCTCCAGTCAGGGACCAGGCTGGTGTGGCAGCTTGGTCACTGCTCTCTGTAGTAAAAGAGGCCATGCAAAACCCCAGAATCTGTTTCTCTGGCATGTTTATAATTTAATTGACATGTAGTAATTTCTTTTTTTTTTTTTTAAGATTTATTTTTATTATTTTTTTATTGGAAAGGCGGATATACAGAGAGGAGAGACAGAGAGGATGATCTTCCATCCGATGATTCACTCCCCAAGTGAGCACAACGGCCGATAATATGCCCAACAGGATCCAGGAACTTCTTCCGGGTATCCCACACGGGTGCAGGGTCCCAAAGCTTTGGGCTGTCCTTGACTGCTTTCCCGGGCCACAGGCAGGGAGCTGGAAGGGAAGCGGGGCTGCTGGGATTAGAACCGGCGCCCATATGGGATCCCGGGCGTGCAAGGCGAGGACCTTAACCACTGCGCCACCATGCCGGGCCCTGTAATTTCTTTTATATATATTTTTTGACATGTAGTAATTTCTAATTCCTGGTTGGCTAACTCCAGTGATAAGAATTCTTGGTCAGTTTTTAATTTTTATTTTTTAATAAAAAATAGGTTGAAATTGAAACTTGTATGTTGCTAAGAGATATAATCAGTCTCTGAGAGATAGGGTCTTTCTGAATTGAGATCTAAATTAGGTGATGGCATATTCCAAAGATGAGACTTCTCTCCCTAAACTTAACAGTTTTTCCTTATCCTCAGTTACTGCTTTGGACCTTTTCTTGGTGAGTGTATACATGTGGAGGTTAGGGGTGTCTTTACATTTCCAACTCAAGTAGCAATAACTTCTGAGTCTACCATCAGTTTACATTATCTCCTTAGGAAATGCTGAAGTCAAAGGAAGACAAAACATAAGGTAGAGCTTAAACACCTCAGACTTCACATCTACAAGATGAATACCCTCCTTCGTTCTGTGTTCTTTCTGAAAGTGACATGATGGCTGGAACAAGACTTCCAAAACTCTTAATTCTAGTAGTGATCATCTGTCTCTTGGGTTCCTTATAACCGGTCCTGTCACTAAGTCCTACCAGTTCTACTTAAATGTTTCCTTTGCGTTCCCCTGCTGCTGCTCCATTGACCTTTTCAGATTTTGTCTTTCAATCAGGCCTAATCCAATTTCAGACTGTTTGCCAGTTCACCACAAAAATGACAAACAAAACAAAACAATACAAAAACAAAACAACCCCCCCTCCCCACACACACACAAACACAGATTTGGGAGCTGGTGTTGTGACACAGTGGGTTAAGCTGCTTCTTCCAACACCAACATCCCACATCTGAGCGCTGGTTGAGGTCTCAGCTGCTGCCCCCGTATTAGCTTCCTACTGATGTGCCTGGAAGGCAGCAGGTGGTGGCTGAGGATCTGAGAGGCCAGAATGTAGTTCCTCTGTTTTTGCTCTAAACCAACTGCAGCCTTAGCAGCTGAATGGGGAATGAACCGGCGGGTGGAAGATCTTTTTCTCTCTCGCCTCTCCCCCTCCCTTTTGTATTCTGGCTTATAAGTCAATCGTTCCGCTAATTCTAGGTTTTTTTTTAAAGCCATGCATTTGATTATTATTTTGCTTAAAATATTCTCTGCTGCTTTCCTCAGTAAAGTTCTAGTTCTTTAACTGAGTGAGCAGCACCTAAGATCCCTTTCTCATGCACCTCATTTCCTACTCCTTTTTCCTCCTTGCAGCTTATATCCACTTTTTTTTTTTTTTAAGAATTATTTATTTTTGATGGAAAGGTAGATTTATAGAGAGGTAAAGATCCTTGCCTTTCTCTAGGGATGATGACAATGTCAAGGATCTTCAGGGGAAATAAGAAAGCAAATATTTTCTTTTTACTCTTAAAACTGCATATGGGGGGCCCGGCGGCATGGCCTAGCAGCTAAAGTTCTCACCTTGAACGCCCCGGGATCCCATATGGATGCCAGTTCTAATCCCGGCAGCTCCACTTCCCATCCAGCTCCCTGCTTGTGGCCTGGGAAAGCAGTCAAGGATGGCCCAAAGCTTTGGGACCCTGCACCCGTGTGGGATACCCAGAAGAAGTTCCTGGATCTTGGCTTCCGATTGGCATAGCATCAGCCGTTGTGCTCACTTGGGGAGTGAATCATCGGACAGAAGCTCTTCCTCTCTGTCTCTCCTCCTCTCTGTATATCTGACTTTCCAATAAATAAATAAATGTTAAAAAAAAAAACTGCATATGGGAATGACCTTAGTGTAAATAGCAACTAAATAAAATACATGTGGAGCAAATAGCAACTAAGTAAATAAATGCGTGTATCTTTATTATGCTGCCTGAATTGGATCCCCAAGACCACCTAATTGATAATTTGCTAGAAGGACCCATTGACATAGAATATAGTTGTACTCATGTTACAGCAAAAGGGCACACAGCAGCCTCAGCAAAAGGAAAGGTTCATGTGCGAAGTCCAGAGGAAACCAAATGCAAGATTAGGAGCCTTTTGCCACTGGTTCTCAAAGGACACACTTATTTCCTCTAGCGAAGCCAGTGGAGTAATGTCTGCAGGGGAGTCTCCTTAGAGAGTGTCTGCTTAATTTCTAATAGGGCCTGGTTAATTAAGTACACATTTGGCCTTAAATGTGGCAGGCTCCCAGAAGGAAAAACAATTGACACAAATTACTTTGCTTATATTGTTAAGGAGCCACTCTTAGGAAACACATTGTATCGGTGTAGGGAACTGTTTATCAGCCAGTTGGCCAAGGGTCAGCCTAGCTGAAGGGTTCAGGCATATGTTAACCCTTGTGCATACTGCGTCTTACAACAGTAAACTTTACCTTGTCTTTTTTTTTTTTTAATTTGTTTATTTTTATTGGAAAGATATATTTTACAGAGAGGAGATACCCAGAAATTTCTTCCGTGCTCTGATTCACTCCCCAAATGGCCACAGTGGCCAGAGCTGAGCTGATCTGATCGAAGCCAGGAGCCAGGAGCTTCTTCCAAGTCTCCCATGTGGGTGCAGGGTCCTAAGACTTTGGACCGTCCTCAACTGCTTTCCCAGGGCACAAGCTGGGAGCTGGATGGAAAGTGGAATATTCAGGACATGAGCTGGTGCCTGTATGGGATACTGGTTTGTTCAGGCAGAGGAATAGTCAGTTGAGCGATTGCACCAACCCCTCCCTTGTCTTTTTATTAACTTGTTAGTACAGAAGGAAAAACAATTTGTATGTAGTGTTGAGAAAGACAGGGAGGGGGTGGTGTGTGGAGGGAGGAGATGACTTCTGAAATACTGTTGAGTCGCAGTGGAAGAGAACATGAAGAGAATTCTGCATTATAGCAGGATGAACCGTTGGAGACAATGGCCAGAAAAATAAGATCCTATTATCAACTTGCTGCCTTTCCAGATGTCTTTACTGTAGCAGAGACATTATCTGTTTTGAAATGGCCTATGGGTTGTTCAGGCACACAGAATAGAGTGTTCCCATCTCTTCAGAAATCGATTTATCACCTTTGTTGTGATTGGTATGATTCCCTGGAAATGTTCTATTCGATTTACTAAAGAGTACTGTGAAGTAGCTGGCAGTGGAGGTAGAGGTCAGGCTGTTTCAGCACACGTTGCAATGCTGTGTTTGTGGCTCATCCTTGAACATTTTTGCCAAATGTCCTCTGGATTGTGGAGCCAAGTTTCTTTTCTGTGATAGCCTGCAGTGATGTCTAGCTGAATCTTCATGAAAATATTTTCTTTTTGGAGTGACCCAAGTTTTTGTACATTATGCTGTTTTTACAAATGATTTTTAAAAAATGTTGAAGTTAATGACCTTTTTTTTTTTTTCTGAGAAAGGAAAAAGACAAGCATGCTGAGCTTGGAATGGGCGTGTTTCTTTAACACCAGTGTTGATAGGGGATGAACTGTATCTGCATGTATTATTCTATACTATGCAGTTATAGAAAAATATCTAGAGGTGGGAAGTTGAATCCAGGCAGCTAAATTGACTTTGGAAGGTGTCCTAACCTTTTACACATACCCACTGAGAGGCAGTGTGTGGAAAACCTTCTGCACCTCTGTGGGCGAGGGAAATTCAAGCAGAATTTGTCTGAAGTCACGTAACTGTTAATGGGGCTAACTGTAGAATTTGATTTGTAATTGATTTGTAGTTCTTTCTAGCAAACTATATTGGATTTGCTGTCATTTTAAGGTTAAGACATGCTAATAAATTATAAAAAGTTGTTAGGAATTTAAAAGGAGACTTTCCTCATTTTGTGATATTTTCTGAGATCCCTGGGCACAGAATGAAAGAATGAGCAAATGGAATTTGTTTTGGTTTACTTGTTTCTGAGTAAAATGGGGGCAGCTGTGTGAAATCACATTAGGCTGTTTCTGGAGCCCTTCTGAGTGTTCTGGTTCTAGCCTTGTAGATGCTCATTTGTGTGGAGGCTGGCAGCATCATGGGAGAACCACCTGATTATAATGCCTAACCTTGGCATTATAATCTCCCTCTCTCTCTCTTTAAAGATTTATTTATTTTTATTGGACAGTCAGATGTGCAGAAAGGAGGAAAGACAGAGGAAGATCGTCATCTGCTGATTGACTCCCCAAGTGACTACAGAGGCTGGAGCTGAGCTGATGCAAAGTCAGGAACCTGGAGCCTGGAGCCACTTCTGGGTCTCCCACATGGATGCAGGGTCCCAAGACTTCGGTCCATCCTTTACTGCTTTTCCAGGCCACAAGCAGGGAGCTGGATGGGAAGCAGGGTCACTGGGGCAGCGCCCATTTGGGATCTCAGCTAGTACAAAGCAAGGACTTTCGCCAGTAGCCTAATGTGTCAGACCCCAAATCGCTTGTAAAACGATTTTGTTTAAGTTCTCCAACATCAGAGAACAACAGCCTAAATGTTATGCACACTTAATGATGCACTACACAAAATAGTTTATTTTACTTTCTGTAAGATACTCACTTTCCTGTTGTACAATTTTTGTTTTCCAGTGGAAGATTGATGATAAACCTGTAAAAATTGATAAGTGGGATGGATCAGCTGTGAAAAACTCTCTGGATGATTCTGCCAAAAAGGTACTTTTTTTTTTTTGCAGGGGTTCATTAGCAGGTATGTAGCTGGTAGCCCACTTCCTGAAATATATCTCCTGTAATTGTTAGAATCAAGCCAAAAAGCAGTGTCTAAAATCCTCACAAAATAAGAGGAAGAAAATATGTTAAAGGGTAAATGTTGGCAATCTTCATTTATTGTCCTTGAGACCATCTTCTCCATTTGAAAAGGGCAAAGAACTGTTTAACTGTGTTCTTTGGGGGAAAGGTAAGTGAGATTTATATAATTCCTAACATAACTTGAATCATGGAAAACGGGAATAGAACAAGGTAGTAAAAAGGAAGCATTCCTATTATTTTGGTTCTTTTTTTCTGCTCACCAGGTACTTCTGGAAAAGTATAAATATGTGGAGAATTTTGGCTTAATTGACGGTCGCCTTACCATCTGTACGATCTCCTGCTTCTTTGCAATAGTGGCTTTGATTTGGGATTACATGCACCCATTTCCAGAGTCGAAGCCCGTTTTGGCCTTGTGCGTCATATCATATCCTTTATTGCTGCTCAAGTTTGTTTTCCAGTGGCAAAAATCAAACTTTCATTTTAGGACCAAATGATGTTAGAATTTGACATTATGAGATGTGCATATCTACTAATTATATGGTGTTTTAGGTTTATTGTGGCTATTTTATATGTAATTCAGTTTCACTAGTAATGTATAGGTTTCTGTAATACTAATGTGAACACCAGTGCAGTAATAGTGAGACCCCGCTCTTTCCATTTCTGCCCGAGAACTTTGTTAGACCAGGTTGCCTCAAGCCATTCATTCCAAAATGTTACAAAAGGATTCAGATTTGGAAATGTAGATCTGGGTCAGGTTTCCTTGAAGCTGTGGAGCTGACTAGGAAGTCCTGAGCTGAGGGGCTTGCAGTACAGAGCGCATGGGTTTGAAATCCATGGTGTTTGTAAGTCTGTGCTGCTGAGAGCTTAACCTTTTTGAGACTGTTTACTTGCTACTAGTAAATAAGGATAATAAACACTCAGAATTATAACTATCGAATCAGAGATTTTATAATGCATTTTATACGTAATACAGTTCCCAACAATGGTTTAAGGTCATGATTTTTCAACTTCACAATGGTGCCAAAGTATGCATACAAATGAAGTACCATCAAAGTTATATTTATTTAAAACAAAATGTAGACCTCATTTGAATAATCATATCAGGTTTTTATATGTTTACCTTATTTAAAAGAGGAAGAGAGAAGTAACTGCTGGTACACTCCCTAAATACTTGCAGCAAACTAGAGCTGGTCTATGTGAAGCCATTAGCTGGATATTCAGTTCAGAATGCCCATAAGGGTGAAGGAACCACTTGAAATCTCTCTGCTGCCTCCCAGAGTCTCCAGTAGCAGATAACTGGAATACAGAACTGGAGTCGATTAATGGACGTAGGCATTCTAACTGGTGTCTTAGTTGTATACACATTACATATACACACATCTCCTTTCCTTGTGGCATTTCTAAGTATATTATCATCTTTTTTATCTTTTTTTTTTTTTTTTAAGACAAAGAGGCTTGGGGGACAAAAGTAATTTGTCTGTATTAGGCTTGTTAAAAGGCTGAGATTCCACAATAGGACTGCCTCACCTGAAATTCTGTGCACTTTGCAGTATACTTTCCTCCTTCCCCTGATAGTCACATTTGAATTGACACAATGTGCAGTAAGCTCTTTCAGCAGTTTCTGGTACATAGTAAGTATTCAAGTATTTTAGTTAATACTGTCAGAAACAACATAAGCTCATGTATACTTACAAAGTAATTGATTTTATAGTGAAATATTTTGAAATCACTGATTACCAGTTGATTAAATATGGTCAAGTCCATTATTCTTATTAGTGCTAATGAGTTGTTTATAGAGAAATAAATGTAACATGTTCTTGAACATAAAAGATGAGAGCTAGTTTATGTTCATATCTTTCTTTTTCATTTTTGAAATGTTTGGAGAATTAACCAGAGAGAGCCTTATATATCTTAAAAGGATGAAAGTAAAGTAGCTGGGGCTGCCATTACAGTTTTAACAGATGAAGCCACCAACTGTGACACTGGCATCCCATTCGTGTCCTGGCTGCTCCATTTCTTATCCAGCTCCCTGCTAATGCACCTGGCAAAACAGTACAAGGTGACCCAAGTGCTTGGGTACCTGCCACCAACGAGAGAGACCTGGAACAAGCTCCTGGCTTCAGCCTGGACCATCATCAGATGTTGAGGCCTTTTGGGGATTGTCCCAGCAAATGGAAGCTTCTCTCTGTCTCTCCTTATGCCTTACTATGCCTTTCAAATAAATATAACAAATCTTTAACTAAAATAAAATAGCTGAATTTTCAAGTGTTTTAGGCAGCAAGGCAGAAGTATCTGAGTATTCTGATTATGAAAGCTGCTGAGGTCATTTGTCAGTTTTTGTAACTTCTCTTTTTTGCATGTTTCTATATTTTTCCCTTAACTTCATTTGAACCTATTTTGTGATGATGGGGATTCTTACTATATATACCTCATATAAAGAGAAGAGCATCTTTCTTGTGGCCCACAGGAAAGATCCTACAGGAATGGATCCTGATGATATTTGGCAGTTGTCCTCCAGTCTCAAAAGGTATGACCGTCCTTACAGATTCTTAAATTGTGGTGTTCATTATGTTGGTACCAGAGGTAGAGGCAAGTGTCCTTTTGTTCCTCTTTGCTGTTCCTAGTTTATCCTCACCTCAGCCCTCCTCCCAAATCCTCCACTTTGAATTGACTGTCATCTCATTTTGCCATTCATGGCAGTTAAATTAAGAGCCAGTCTTTTCTTAGAGATAGTTTCTGATCTATTAGTACCTTCTAACATACCAGAGTATTTTTTTTTGTTTTAAATCTGTGGAAACTAGAACTAAAAGATAAACTCATTTTGATTTAAAAGTTTTTAAAATCATGCACATGAGAGGTTTTTAAAAAATTCATGAAAAAAATGTGTATTATGAAAACATTGTACATGGATTTAAAAATATATATATTTTTACCAAAATAAGCATAACTTTCCCATTTCTTACATGGATTTTTTGAAGTATCTTCCTATGTCCTTCCAGAAATTTTGGTGATTTCCATATCCAAAAAGATGGTTGTACCAGTACCGGTTGTTCCAATGATCTTGTTTTTCATCATGCCTTACACTTATTTTCTGAATGTGCCGTAAACCTTGCTATTACCAATAACAAATCAGCCTCAGTAATTTTAATATTTATCTAAAGCCTCCACATTGGTTTTTTAAATTTCTTTTCCGTTTTTGCTTACTTGATATTTTCCTCTATGCTGGATCATTGCTTCAGATGTACGGATATACAGTTAATTTCTACCAAGTAAGAGAAAATTCTCTTTATGCTTCTTCTCATATCTTGACCCTCTTTTCCTTTTCTCCCATTATCACTTGGACCTGCTTCTCTAATCTTCTCTTACCTTATTTACTTGACTTGTTAGTATTTGATAGCTTAAAAAAAAGAAAAGAAAACTAGGTTTCTAAATTAGTGCACAGAATCTTTAATATCTTCCTTCATCTCCTTTGTGACTCTTCATCTTCCTTCACCCTTTCTAAATTCAGAATTCAGTTGTGGTTTCTTTCTAGAACTTCCTCTCTGTATTTACTTGGTGGAATAAGTCAACAGGAGACTTTCATAAATACTGCCTATGTGATGCAGATCTCTACATCTCGATTTTTCATCCCAGACCTCTTTTCTGAACTCCAAGTATGTTTTAGCTTTCTGTTTGACATTGGATTCCAACCAGATGCTCAGAGTTAACATGTCCGGAACCTAACTGCTGCCTCCATCCAAACCTTGTCTTCCTTAAGTTTTCCCCATCTCAGCGTGAGTTCCATCCTTATAGAACTCTGGAGCCATTTTCACTTCTATCTCCTGGTCCTTTCTGTAGTCTGTCAACATATCGTATGCATTCAGTCTGCTCATTTACCATCTGCATCGCTTCTGTCATCTCTCACTTAGGTTACTGTGGTAATGTTCTAAAATGAACCCCTGTAGCTGCTCTTTCTGCCCATAGTTTATTTACAGCATAGCCAGCAAAGTGATCCTTGCAAAATGTTAAGTCAAGTCGACTCAGTCCTCTACCCAAACTACTACAAAACTTACTCAGAAAAATGTGAAACCCTGAGAAGGTTTCAGCAGTCTGTATCTATCCTCTGCCCTCCACACATGTGCAGACACATCCCTCATCTCCTATGGCTCACATTCTCCCCTCATCCATTCCATTCATGCTGGCCCCTGTACTGTTCTTCATCCATTGTAGATATGTTTTGCCTTTGCACTGGCTGCTCCTCCTGCTCTCCTCTAACCTTTCTTAGGCCTCAGCTGAAATATTCTTAGTGCAGCCTTTTTTGCCTACTTTGTTTAAAACAGCATCTTGTGTGGTTTTTTTTATTGTTGTTGTTACTATTCTGTATTATGTATTCACTGATTCAGTAAAATGAAAGTTCCTAAAGACAGACATTTATTTTGTTCCATGCTGTAAATCCTTAGCATCTAAAATTGCCTGACATATACATCTAAGGCTCAATAAATATTTGAATTAATGAACAACTGTTTCTAAAATGCATTAGGTCACCGCTCATGATTTAATGTTCTATCTTAGCTATACCTTAAGGTACCACTGCTAATAAAGCTGGGCCCAGAGGTAAGAGTTATTGTGGTGTCAGCAGCAATTGGATGAGTCCCTGAATAAACTCCAGTAAATGGAGCTAGAAACAGGTAGTGGTGTTGAATGTAGAACGTTAGTCTACCAGAAGTAGATGCCATTGAGCCCTCTTAGATGGATGAAAATAGTAATGGCTTTCAAAATACCTTAACATTTGGCTGAAGAATCCATACATTCATATAAAAAAGCAAGTGATGTCCTAGGCATGGGGTCAGAGTAGGACCTGTAGCTAAATTATCACAGAGTGCAGAGTCTAAGTGGCCTGGAATTTGGGTACATCTTTGAAAGCAAAATTCTTAATGTATTCCTAAAAATTTGATTGCTACCAATTTGCAGAAACAACTTTGAAAATCATATGTAGTTTTTTCATAATACTTACTTTGTTTTGTGAAAAACCTTTTGTGTGTGTGTGTGTGTGTGTGTGTGTGTGTGTGTGGAAAGCTAGGTCCTCATGCTCTCAATGAAATATCTGTCAGTAGATCCTGATATATAATAATCACTCAGTATTTGAGTTGAATATTGATGGATGATGCTGTGGCAGATTACAGAGGTAGGTTGTGAGGGGTTTGGTAAGGGTTCACAGAAAAGTTTCTGTCCAAGTGAGTTGTTTTTAAATGGGAACTGGTAAGGTGTAACTGGGGAGAAGTATCTACTAGTATGGCAATATGAATTCCAGGAGTGAAAGGAGATGGTCTGTATGGCTGACAGAGCAAAGGAAGTGCAGTTAGGAAAGACATCTGTGCTTAAAAATCAGAACTAATATTTTGAAGACAGCCAGGGGCCTTAGGTTGTTTCTGTTTGAGATTTTTGCATGTGTTCTCTATAACATCCTAGCTTATCTCTGTTCTTCATGAACACTTGGAGCTATATTATTAGTGGTTGAATCTATATGTCTAATTTTTGATTGGTTTCTTTGCCCCATACTTAGGTTTGATGACAAATACACCCTGAAGCTGACTTTCATCAGTGGAAGAACAAAGCAGCAACGAGAAGCTGAATTCACGAAGTCCATTGCTAAGTTTTTTGACCACAGTGGAACGCTGGTCATGGATGCATATGAACCTGAGATATCCAGGCTCCATGACAGTCTTGCCACAGAAAGAAAAATAAAATAATCAATTCTAGAAGTGGCCCAGTTTATGCTGGCTCATGCTGAATTACCCAGTGGGTGGGGGGAACAAACAGCGTAAAATGGGTAAAGTAAGAGTGTTAAAAATGTTCCTGTTGTGTCCTGAGAATTTAGCCCTTTCTGGATAACTAGAATTTTTAGCACAGATATGAGAAGTTGTAGCTCTGATGTCTAGCTGTAACCTATTCGGTCTGCTGATCATATTATTTTATTTGCTTTTCTGGAAAAGCATTTTTGCTAAAAGCCGTGCAGACTTTTCCCTTTGTACCTAGCATTACTTACATAGTATAGCTTTGTGCCATGCAGAATTTGAAGACTCAGTTTTTTAAACTTGTTAACCCCTTGGTGACTTTATTAATTCCTGTTTCAACAGCTGTTTGAGAATTCAGGATACAACTTCTTGTGTATGACAGCTTTCCTTCACATACCATTTTTGTGGGTGTGTGTATCTGACTTGGGGAGAATTTGAAAAATATATAGCATTTTAATTTGTTTAAAACAGACCTTTGCCTGTTACATTTTGTGCTCTTAACCAATTAAAGAAGCCAGTGGCGTTTTTAGTTTTATATTGTCTGTATTTTCCCTGTTGATTTGTTTGTGCCCTTTATTAACTGCCATTTTCTAAAATTTTTTTCAATAAAAGGAAAGAAGTTGTGAAAAAAATAAGAGTCATAGTTTTGATGGATGAAACAGAACAGCAAGGGCCATGGTGTTCCACCTGGTATGGATTCTTTTCATTACAAGGCTGTTTTATTGGTCAGAGGCCCCTTGAGACAGGGTCACTGTAGACCCAGACTTTGCAGTGGTAACAATTACAACAGCATTCAGTATTTACTTTGTGCCAGGGAGTGCTTCAGGTACTTACAACATATTTTAGAATTAGGATTCTGAGAATTTGGTACTGTGACTTAAATTTTAATTTTACATCAAGAGAAAGACAGAAAGCCCCCACCTGCTGGGATGTCACTTCCAAAATGCCGACTAAGACTCCCTGGCTGGCGCTGAAACTTGGAACCAGGGATTTGGCCTAGGTTTTCCTGAGCAGCCATCATCACTACCTCCCAGGATCTGCATTAGGAGGAAATGAGATTCAAGAGCTGAGCAAGGTACTGAGTCAGGCCCTCAGATATGCGATTCAGATGTTTTAATCAGTAGGCCAAGTTATCCCTAAGGGAAACTAAGACAAAAGTTGAGTGGCTTGCTACCTATCTTGTTAATAGACCTGGAATTTAAGCCTGCGTATTCTGTCTCTAGAGCTTGTTCCTGCAATGATGGAACTGCAGCATCTTTCTTAGTACTTTTTGGGCAAGATCAGAAAAGAACTGGGCATATGCCCACATCTCTGACCTTTAGAAATATGAACCCTTACTATCTTCAACAAGTGCGATTACAGCTGGGCCTATTTCCTCAAACCGTTCAGGTTATTAGATATTATCATGAACACATTTCCTAATTCACCTGGGAATGTTGCCCTGTCTAGCACCACACAGTGGGGGATAATGGGACAGCACTGAATGGAAAGATGCAACTTTGGATTCTGTAATGTATTTCCATAAGCTTTGGGTAAGTGACAGAATTCTGAACTGCTCGTTTCCTCTTTATTTTCTCCTCACCCCCTACCTTCCAAAGATAAATCTGATCCTGTGAGCTACTTCAAGGTTTTGGGAATGTGTCATTACACATTTGTATTATTACAACGATAAGTTATTGTTAACATGGTTGGGATCCAGGGTTTGTGGATATAGCTGTGAATAGCCTTTTCTGTGCGGTCATTGATCCTTAACATTCGCATAAATAAGCCTTTAGCTTTGTTTTTGCCTGCTAATTCTAGGTTGTCGTGTCCTATAATTTCCTTTATGTTTTAGATTTAAAAAAAATTTTTTATTATATTTTTGACAATCTTTGCATAGTTAATTAGGGTAAAAAGGGTCAAGGGCTTTAGGGAAGTGGGTAAGACTATTATTTCCATATTGTTTCCTTCATGTATCTGAGGTAAAGGGTGATATTGAGGGAGAAGCCCCACCCAGTTTCCCACCCACCCCAAGTCCCGGATGTGGGGCATGCTCTGAGATACTTGCTCCAGTGGTTTTGATAGTTCACCAGTTGTGAATCGCTGCCAATCTCGCCACTCCAAGCACGATGAGGTCGTTGAAGAATCCACTGATTGATACAGTCCCTCATAGAGTCTCCATTTGCCCAGTATTTCACTGCCAACAAATAGCTGAGTTGGTTGGTTGACTTGTTCTGTCTTCTGTCTTTTCTTGGTTAGGGTTCTGAGTCCAGCATTGCAATTGGGGAGATCCCAAAAGAAACTTAGAGGTATCCCCAAACCAGATTCTTCTGTGTTCTAACAAGCACAGGTCCCGGCAGAGTCCATCGCCCCAATCAGCTGGTGGTTGCAATTGCTGGGTTGGTTCGGTTTTTAGCCCTGACTTCCACTGGAACCAATGAGTGTTGCAGTCCAGCCTGGTTCTGCCCAGCACGTACTCGGCCCTCACATAAACCAGTGGGAGCTGCAGCCTAGTCAGAGCAAACTGCAATAACCCCCTCCAGGCCCGCCTCCTATCCTGGTTTGCCAGTATGTATAGCATCCACATCCCATTTTGCTCTCGTACATGTCAATGGGTATTGAAGCTTAGTTCTATCTAACCAGCTCAACTATCCAGCCCTCACGGATGTTGTTGCGTGCCTCTCTAGCCACTCCAGCCCCTGTCCTAGTTTTCGTGCCCTCCCATAGGAGTGTTAACCCAAGAGGGAGGAACCCACTATTTCCCTCCCAGGTCTCTCTCATTCTCGGTTTATGTACTCTTCAGGTGGTTCTGGCATTTGACTTGACAGAATTAGCCCCCAGTGCCACCTTCTGCCAGCTGAAGCCCAAACAGCCCTCACCCACTCTAATTTATGCTTGCACCAGTACGAATAATCAGCTCTGCCTGGCTTTTCCCTGATCTAGTCCACATGAGGTCCACAGGTGTTGTAGCCCTGCTTAGTCTGGTCTGCCCCCATCCCAGCCCATGCTCTCCAGTGGGAGTAGCAGTCCGGCAAGGGGACCATCCCCTATTCCCCCTGCCGGCTCTGCCCCCTCCCTTCCTGGTTCTCACACGTGCTGGTTGGGTGCTGCTGTCACATCCTGTACAGGCAACCTCCCCTTGGCATTCCGTATTGTGCACTGGTTTTTGTTGTGACCGAACCTGGCTCAACCCACAGTTTGTTCTGGTGCTCAGATTTGCCAGTGGATGATGTGAACTGTTTCAGCCTGGTCTGCCCCCGACCCATGCCAAATGTATGCCAGTGGGAAACTTTCTATGGCCTCTTCTGGGCTGTTTCCTATCATGCTTCTTGCTTAGGCTGTTACATGTTTTTAGAAACAATCATTGTGTTTCAGAACAACATTAGGGAATGGACAAGGTTGGTCTCACCATTGTGGCTTTGGAATTAATGTGTTATGTTTTTTATTTTCTTGACCATTTTCAGTCCAAACGTGTACTTTTTATTGCCAAAAGCCTCTTAACAGTGGGCTGACAATTCAAGTATTTGGTGGACTTTTCCATTCTTCCATTCACAATTTTTTGAATGCCAGGAAATCATTTTTAAAACAGTGGATTCAGATTTCTGACTCCACCTTGTTACTGCATCCTGCTTCATATATTTTTGTAAGGCAGTGTACATGGCTGTCCCTGGAAAGCATTCACTTCCTCCTGGCTGCTTAGTGAGTGCTAATCAAAAGATGGTGGTTGAAGAGGAGAGGAGGAAGTGGTTGAATAGATGTATTTTGAAATGTTGGTGTTCTGCTGTGACTTTTTGGGAACACTGTGTTTTCTCTCGGGTTTCGGAGACCCATCTATATTCTTGGGTCATTGCCCAATCAGTTCCAGTTCAGCCACCTGGATTCCCTTGTTGTACTGACATTGTTCTAGATCACAGTGATTAGAAAGAGTCACCCTGGAGCCTTTCTCTAGAAGGAAGGTAGCCTGATGTAACTTTCTAGCTGTTGAAAATGCCCTAATCTTAACTGCTGCTGCATTTGCCATCCCCCACTGGGTCACTCTAACCACAAGTGTTAACGGCTGTCTGCTTCAGCTCACTGCAGAGCGTGTCAAACAACAGTTGTTCTTCCAGTGCCTGCACCTCTCACTCAACACACATCACAGTTTCCCCATATTTCCTTCTTATTTCTGAACAAATACTATTTGGCTGGTGACACAGACACATAGTTACACTCTCTGTCCTCAACCAGTCTTTCCATTAACCACACTGGTCTCAATTCTGAGTGAGCAAGGGACTGACACATTAGAGACACCTGTGAACTTGTCTCCAAGTGATCTACGTCCCACATGTCACTTTCTTGCCAGGGACACATGGCCCCTAGAGTATACTTGTTTGGAAGCCAAAAAACTATGAAAGGCACAGTGTTTTAGCTCTTAGGGAGTGTCATGGCTTCCTTTCTCAGGTGTTTAAAGAAATACCATGCCTGGAACCTAGTGTCCTCACTTGGGAGATCAGCCTACTCATAGTTACCTAGAGTAATTTGCTGGAGGAGTAACTGATCATTTAAGCACGTGCTGCAGGTGATTGTCTCTATCTTGACATCCTATTAAAAACGTTGGTCATGAACTGTGTTCCTAATTTTAGCTGATATCATCTCATGCCTAGAAGATATTTAGATCAGCCTCGAGTTAGTGGTCAGATGATTATGGGCAATAGCAGCTCATAACGTCCTCCTGTGGACCACTAATACATCCTGCTGTGCCTAGGGAGGTTAGCATACTGAGTAGTAATATATAGCATGTATCTATACTTCCAATTAATAGTAGGATTCCCAATAATATTTGTAATTATGCTTTTACATTGTTACTATGTTTTCTACCTTTTCCTGTACTTGCCATATCATGATACATTTATAGATCAGAAGGTTAAGCTTGTAATGGTGAACTGAATGCTTGTGTTATTATAATAACCTGGAGACAAATAATAGGAAATTATAGAGAGGGAAGATGGGGTGGGAAAGGGATGAACTTCTATGCTTACAAATCTATGTCATGGAAAAAATAATTTAAAAATATATTCAATAATTTGCAACAGGCCTGCAGATCAGCCAGCCCCGACCATTGATGTGTTTCAGATTGGGCTTCCTGGGAAGCACCCTCTGGAAGGGAGTCTAAAGGTGTTTGCTAAGCAGCACTTCTGGAGCCAGTGCTTGTGGAAGAGTGAACAGTGCATGTGAACCATGCAGGAGGAGTTGAGAGTTATAGAGAAAAGGAGAAACATTCCATCTACTGGTTCATTCCCCAAATGGCTACAGCAGGGCTGGAGTTAAACCAATTTGAAGCCTGGAGCTAGGAGCTTCTTCTGGGTCTCTCACGTGGGTTTTGGGGATTAAGGACTTGAGCCACCCTCTGCTGTTTTCTCAGGCCATAAACAGGGAGCTGGATGGGAAGTGGAGCAGCCAGGACACCAACTAGCACCCATATAGGATGCCAGCACCGCAGGTGGAGGATTAGCTTGCTATACAACTGTGCCCCTACAATGACCATCTTCATTGACTGCCTGGGTTGCTCTGGCACTTAGCTGGAGCAGAATAGCTAGATGTATATGCCCTCATATTAGATACTGGATTTTAGGCATGGACGGACCTGGAACGGGGCAGGACTTTGGATGAAGCA